ACTTCCACATCGCTATAATCTCGCAACGGAGCTCTATAGCTGTGTGCTTTGTTACTTGTGCTGTATTAAGAAGGCTATAGTCCACTTGTAACAATATGGATATAAAATTAAGAGTTAGCAAAGTAATAGTACAAAAATTTTACAATTTCATGATTTTTGAAACTACGAACCACCAAATTAGGTTGCATATAGAATTATATTTCATGAAAAAGTTAAATATACGATCATTATTTGATCTCTGACATGATAACTCCAAAGCCATAAATATCAGCAGCTTTTGTAAACTTTCCTCCTTGTAAAACTTCTGCTGCAACATATGGCACTACTCCATAAATCTTATTTGAAACATTTTCATCAGATCGCATAGTTTTACTAACGTGCAAAACCTCATTAATCTCACTTCCTGAAGCACATCCATCTTTTTTTCTAGACAGTCCTAAATCTGAAATTTATAGTTCTACACTTACTTTATCATCTACATTTTGCTAATTTATTACCTATAGGATAAGGAATGGTTTTAACACTTCTGGTACTAATCATAAGTATGTTGCCGCTGTGAAAATCTCTATGAACATAATCTTGATGAATAAAATCTAAATTATAAGAAATTGAACAAAGAATCTTTATTTTTTGCATCGAGTCAAGAGTTTTAAAATTTGCAAGTAAATATTTATTAGATATTCTTTTTCAGAGTTACAAGTTATTTCATATATTTTCAACCCATATTTATCTACACTATATCTGTTGAGTTGGTATTCATAATGTATTTTAAACTAAGATATAACAGTAACTATTATTAGTATTTTATTTATTTATTTAAAATATAAATTAATTTGATTTTTTTTACCTCATCAAAAGATCCATCAACACCTAAGCTCTTAAGTGCTACCACACATTGTTTACGAGACATTAATACTTTACTGTTTGGACTTTTATCATATGTTTGTTTACCATCAATCCAAGTTGCAGAATAAATTGTTCCAAAACTACCTTTACCAATTTTTTCAACATCTTTTAATTTTTCATAAGGTATAAATTCAATTACCTTATGATAGTATTTAGAATTTTTTTGTGTATTTCTTACAAAACTATCTATTTCAGAATTTCTACAAGTTCCTTTTTGACTTATTCTAAAATCACATGAATAACAATAATAAAATCCAGTATTAAAATTTCCACAATTTGTACAGATTCCAAATCTTAAAAAAGTCTCATTCGTATTATTTGATTTGATTCCAAATTCCCTATTTAAATTCAAAAATGATTCCTTATGTCTGCCTATCTGTCAATTAAGTTCTTCACGATTATAAAATGCCAATGCATTATTTGGATCATTATCTATTGACTTATTCAAATCTGCAAGCGATTCATTAAATCTATCAAGCGCATTATAAACATTGCTATGAACATTTAATGCACCTCCATGATTTGGATCAATTTTTAATGATTTATCTAAATCTGTAAGTGATTCATCGTACCTGTTCATCATGCGATAAACTTCCCCACGATTAATTAAAGCTATTACATTATTTGGATCAATTTCTAAAGTTTTCTTTAAATCTGTAAATGATTCTTTATATTTGCTAATTCAACCATAAGTTAGTCCACGATTGATTAATGTTGATAAATAATATTATGTATATGCGTTTAAATATAACTTAGAATTCAAAAATAAATTCACGCATGGCAAAGCTGTATCATATTACATAAATATAAAAAAAGTTTTTTATCTTTATGCTTATTAAATTTCATATTTATCTGGATTTATTTTCTATCCAGATTTATTTTTTATCCGGATTTATTTTCTATCCGGATTTATTTTTTATCCAGATTTATTTTTATCCAGATTTATTTTCTATCCGGATTTATTTTCTATCCAGATTTATTTTTTATCTGGATTTATATATTATATCCGGATTTATCTTATATCTGAATACAGATATTCAAAAAATTGAATCTGGATTTATTTAAAATCCGGATTAATCCGGATATAAATATATATCCAGATTCAACTACTATCTCTAGATGAGATAATGCATCTTGTGATAGTTTATGACAATAATGTGAATTATTAATAAACAAAATCCACATATTATCTTTTTTAGTACCATGAAAAGAGAAAGAGCAGCCTATTAATTTAGAACCTGTGTGTTTTTTATATCTTTTATTTGTAAGCTTTAACTGGTTTCTATAACTTCCTCCTCTATCACAATTTAGATACACTTTATTTGGTTTCAAACTTATAATAGATATGTTATAACCATTTGAAGCACCAAATGTTCATACATATTTGATTAGTGAATCATGACTATTAAATTGATCAGCAGAGAGACATTGCATTGTAGTTTAATATTGGTAGGTTTAATTGTTATAGCAGTGAAATTTGTTTAATATATATAAATAACAGTTTTTCTAATACAATTTTTTATTTTTATATTAATATATTCTAATGAATATAATCATTATATATTTTAAACTCTGATTCAATAACACAATATTATAATATAGGAGTTATAATAATCATATCATTCTTTATATCATTCAAAATTCATCATTCAATAATCATTGCAAAGTGGTCTTATAAGTTATAATTTTGTTGATAAATTCATATATTTTAATATTAACAATGAGAGTAATTTATAATTATAATGTAACAGAAAAACCAGACTTTAGACTCTTATTTACCAGATCGACTAAAGATTGGAACCATTTAATCATATTAAAATTTTTTCATAATTTTGAGCCAAATTATATTATTTATACCCAATATTACTCTAATGTCACTGAAGTAAATAGATAATACAATTAAACAGTTAAATGATTAAATAGTTCTAGTCTCTAAATTTAATTATTTAGATTTTAAAATTGAGACTATTAAGTTATAAGTCTAAAGTCCAAAATCTGGTTTCTCTGGAGTCACTCATTTTTAAACATTGATTTATATGCACTAAATATTTTAATGAATATACAATATCTCTGCTATTTTCAAATATGTTTTATTCTTATACAGATTTTGCATTTATATTTTAAATGTTTAAGCTTTAAGTTTGAATGTTATATTTAATTTAGTTATCTAATTCTGCCAGAATGTTAAAACAATTTCATAAATTTCTACATTATACAAGTTCATATTAATGTAATTAAAAACTGTATCATTGTATACTGATTTATTATCCATTAACTCATAGTAAAGTTAAAATATAATATTAGTATTATGTTACATAATGTCTAGTTCTACTTGAGCTAAACTCTTTAGTACACCCACAAAAATTGGTGCATCTTTGTAATTTCAACATGAATTTCTAGACCAGGTCAATATAAAAATCGAATCACTTTTTTTACAAAAAAAATAAGAATAGTTCTGAATTATAATTAGCAAATCTCCTTCTGCAGGCTAATTAAAAGTATTCTTTATAAATTTTTACTAATAAGTACTACATTACTTTAACCCTAGCCTTAACTATAATGCAGTTTTATTTGGTTTGATTTTATACAAAGTTTTTTTTATTATGTTCTACACCTAATAAAAAATTTGATTGGTTAGAAATTACTAATTTTGAGGTATGTTATATAAAATTTCAATCAAATCACATGATATAATATATTTCATTTCATATAATTTAATTGGCTATTTACAAAGGTGTAAAAATACCAAAATCAGGTGTGAAAATATCTGTTCTCTAGATTTAACTCTTTAGTTATAAGAGAAACGAATTTCCAAAATACCAAAGTATCATCAAATTATATATACAGTATATTTTAAGATCAAATAGATATTCATATTTCCTATATTTTTCAAACTCAAATAGAATACAAATTGGTAGATATTTGAATCATGCTTTATAATAATAAGTAATAAATTATGCAAAATACATAAAATTTAAATTTTCAGTATTAGTTTTAAACCAAATATCACAGATATTTAGATTTAAAAGAAAGGCCAACAACAATAATGGTTGTTTCTATTATTTCCACCCTTTGTTTTAACTACAAAATTATGTTTTGTGCTAAATTTTGATTAGAATATTCTTCTCACATCTTTAAAATTTCACCAAAGGCTTGTAGAACTTTATGAAGACGAGTGGTATCTGATTGTAATTTATTAAGTGCTTCACAATAATGATAAAGCAATAAATGCAATAACTTTATTGATTGCCAAAAACTATTATTAAGCAAAATTGATATTATATTTTGTAAAAAATATAGTTGATCTAAATAAATTGAAAATTGATTTATTTTATTATCTAAACTATAAATAGAAGTATTTAATAGCAATTCATAAACAGTAGCTAAGTTTTATATTAAAATATATATATATATATTTAGTAAAGTTTTTATTAACTAATTTATTACCAAGAATATATTTATTAAATATATTCTTAATAAAATAATATTTACTTTTAGACAACTAAACAACTCTTTCTGACGATTCTCTGATCAACAACAACAAAAATCGAACTACAGCAAAACGTATAGAAAAGCGATG